TATCCTGCCAATAGCTTGTTGTTGTTATCAGTTTCCATCATGTTGATTGCAACTCCTGGTGATTCCGTGTGCTTCATAGTAGGACCGCATTCCACAGGGGTTTCTAGTCTGTGAGCTTTTAAAAGCAGAGCACATGTTTTTATTCAAAGGCATTTCTCCATGGGTTAGAATCATCAATCTTTGAGCTAGTATTTGAGTGCTTAACTGTTGTACCACTCAGTGATTCTTGCCAATAGATTGTTGTTGTTGTATAATGTCAAGTCAATTCTGACTCATACCAGCCATCTTGTTGTTGTTGTTAAGTGCCATCATGTCTGTACTGACCCATAGTGACTCTCTATAGGGTTTCTGAGGAGCATCTAGTGGGTTTGAACTGCCAACCTTGCAGTTCAAACTGACGATGTGGTCTAGCATGTTATCCTGCAGCGCCACACCAGGACTCAAGCAGCCATCTAGAACAGAGTAAATCTGCCTCATAGGGTTTCCTGTGCTGTTCAATTTATTGGGGCAGATCATCAGGTCTTTTCTTCTGTGGAGATGCTGGGTGGATTCAGTACACCAACATTTCAGTTAGCAGCTAGGCACTAGCAAGTACACCACCAGGGTTCCTTTCCAATAGATTACTCTCCCTTAAACAAGCCAAATAGGTATAGCAAAGTGGTGGAGAACCTGGGTATAGGAATCAGATGGATGTGAGTTCAAATCCTGCCTATGAATAAAACTGATTAGTGTAGAACCTTTGACTAATCACTTAAATTCCACAGACCCCAGTTCTGTTATCTATAAAATGAGTTTTATCAGCCTTGAATTGAAGTCATCGATTTTTTTTTTTACACTTTAATAATCCCTTTGCCATCAAACTAATTTCTATATATGACAATCATGTGAGTAAAATGACTTATTTTAGAGATACATCTTAAATATACATGGGATTGCATAGTACTCACATATCAAAAAGTGTATTTTCTTTTAAGATATGATATCATTTTAATTCCTTAGTAAACATTAAGCATTTATGTACCAGGAAATGTGACAGCCACTAAAGGTATAAAATGAGCAATTGCTGCCTTCAAGAAACCCACATTTTTATGGAGAAACAGATATATAGAACAAAATGGTTATGGGTAACAGCATAAATGAAATGAGAGAGATTGCACAGGATAATAAGGATGAAAAGTACAAGTGTGTTCTAATCTCCTAGACAGGAAAAATGCAAACTATATTAGCTGCAATCCTCTTTCCATTCCCACCAAGAGATTCCACTGGAAATGTGAATCAGCTACAAACAATCCCTGGATTACTAAACAAGTTCTCTTCTTAAATCTGTCTTTAAACCCAATTTGTATGTAGATCAGAACAGTTCGGTATGGTTCACATCTAAGTCAATTAGTCAAATGTTTGTCTTAGTATATAGTATACCTTTTGTTCAATTAGTCAAATGTTCGTCTTAGTATATAGTATACCTTTTGTATACTTAATAATTTTAAAGAAACATTTCCAGATACAGTGAAACATCTTTAACATAATAACATGGCAATAATTATTGTTGCTATGTGCAGTGGAGTCAGTTCCTACTTGTGGTCAGCACTTCAATGCTCATCCTACAGGGCACTCCACAGCAATAAGAAAAATATTTTAATTCATTTTGCAAAGTAGTACCTGTTTGTTATTATAAACCACTGTATGTGCCTCAAATTTTTAATGTAATAGTATTTACAGGGGTTGGTTTAGAACTATGGGTTGTACTTAAGTCCGACATTCGTAAGCCAGGGGCTGCCTATAATCTGGGGGGTGGAAATGAAATTAAAAACAAAACAAAAAAAAAAGAAACCAAACCCATTGCCATGATTTTGATTCCAACTAATAGTTACTCTAAAGGAAAGAGTAGAATTGCCCCACAATGCTTCTAAGGCTGTAAATCTTTAGGGTTGCACAAAGAAAGCCTCATCTTTCTCCCACAGAATGGCTGGTAACTTTGAACTGCTAACTTTGAGGTTAGCAGCCCACTCATAACCACTACTCTATCAGAGCTCCTTAGGTAGATAAATATTGTTGTCAAGTGCTGTCAAGTCGATTCCAACCATAGTGATCTGGCATAGGGTTTCCAAGGAGCAGCTGGTAAGCTTGAACCATCAATTTTACAGTTCAAGTGACTTTGCAGTCTTGTGCATTAGCCCACAGCACCACACCAGGACCCTAATTTGATAAGTTGTTGTTGTTGTTGTTAAGTGCCATCGAGTCGGTTCCAGCCAGAACTAGATAAATACTGAGAAATAAAATCTGTTATTGAATTATTGAGTTTTAGTATCATATAAAGCAATCCTAGAGCCCTGGTGTGGTGCTGGATAAACATTGGACTGCTAACAGCAAGACTGGCAGTTCAAACCCATCAGTCATTCCTCTGAAACCTGAATTAGGGTTTCTATGAATCAGAATTGACTCGATGGCACTTATCAGCAACAACAACTCAATGTAATTGATCTTAACAATGTGCTTAACCTACGGATACTTCAAATACACGTCCTCTGGAATCAAGTCTTTGTGGCTGATCTGAATTGCTTTTATTTATTTATTTTAAGAACTCAAAACAAAGTACAGCTATGATTCCAATTTACTCTGGAGTGTGAGGTATTATTTTGGAGAGAAATAACTGTTGAATAGTGAAAATTGTTCAGCTGGAGAATAAACGGCCATTTAGATCATATAAATGTGAGCCGAGGAAGCAGGACGAGTGAACCGTCAGGGAATGAAGGTAAGCAAGGTGGAATTGAAAGTGCTGTGTGTGTTTTCCTCTGCAGACTGAAGCAGCTCTGATGTACGATGCCGTGTACATGCTGGCCATCGCCTCCCACCGGGCCTCCCAGCTGACGGTCAGCTCCTTACAGTGTCATCGACACAAGCCATGGCGCCTTGGGCCCAGATTTATGAACCTGATCAAAGAGGCAAGTTCCCTTGGGTTTAGCCCTATTTGAATTGTCCATTTGATGTGGCTCTTCCCACCTGGTTCTCTTGATGTGAAGGGAGGGGAAACCGTTGATAACCAGTCAGCTGGGACTTCAGTGGTACAAGTTTGTCTAGAAGAATTGCTAGGAGTGTTCCAGTGTGATGTTAGGGAGCTCAAAAATGTTTATTGTTAATTGCCATTTATTCAGTTCTGACTCATAGGGACCTTATGTTGAACAGTATGTTGCTAAGTCCTACACCAGGTTCATGGTCTTTGGTATGGTTGAGCCCATTGTTGTAGCTATCGTGCAAATCCATCTCACTGTGGGTTTCCCTCGTTCTTGCCGATCCTCTGTTTTGCCAAGTATGATTTCCTTTTCTAGTGATTACTCTTTCTCATATTATAACTTCAACCCTATTTTGTTTCATCTATGGCCCCAGCTAGTTCTGATCCTCTGTACATGTACAGGGGTTCATCCCATAGTCCTCTGGGTCAAGTGGAGAATTAGTCCATCACTCAAGAGTACCAGATACATCCCAAAATTCAGCCTAAAATCCCAGGGCCCTTAAGGTCTGGAGTGTAGATGACTTGATAGACAGATCTTTTTATCTTAATGATACAGTAATTTTTTTTGCTGTTTGTCAGTTAATCAGAAAATTCAATTTCCACTGAAAACCTACCAGGTATACTAAAGGATTTTTAAGCATATAGGATTTCTGACTATTGCCCTGGGATCCTGGGCTGTTTGTCATCCTTCCCTCTTCTCTGAAATAATGACTTACCTTCACAAGTCTCTGTCTTAGTTACCTTATCTTAGTTACCCAGTCCTACCATAAAAGAAACACCAAAACTTACGTTTAAAGACAGAAAATGTATTTTCTCACAGTCTGGAGGCGAAAAGTCCAAATCAGGGTAGTTCTTGTGGAAAGTCCCAGGTGTTCCTTTGTTCCTCAGTGATCCTTACCTGGCATCTGTATTCCCTCATGTGTGTGCTGTGCCTGTGGTTGTACTGCTTCTTAAAAATGTTTAAATATAACTAAAAAGGTGTTTGGTTTAGGATTTGCTGTGAGCTCGTAAAACTTCAATTGACTGGTCATAGTACATTGCATCCACAGGTTTAGGTATTTCTTTACCAACACAGAGTACCACAATTCAATCTATAATATTCCTGAGAGATACATATCCTTGAACTGTCTTTGACTACAGCTCACACCTCGGAATATGCCTGGATTTTGTGGGGACCAGCCAGGCCTAAGTATATAGCTTATTAGTGATGCTGCTCAGATATTTTCTTTATGGAATACAAAGATTTCTCTCTTAGGAAAAGAGGTAAATATTTCTCTTCTCCCTCTCTCTGTCCTGCAGAAGGTTGAGGTAAGACAAAGCCATGAAATAGCAGAATGAAATGGAATATTGTACAAGAAAAGAATGCCCATCAAGAGAGAGGGTTAAATCTTATGGAAAGATGCTTGCCTTTGGTTCTGTTTCCACTGGTCTCTTTAGGACTTGCAGACCCTCTCTCAACAGTTGACTCTACTTCCTATTGAAGACTGACTCTAGTCCACAGAGGACAGTTAAGTAACCCAGATCAGAAGCAAGGCAGTTTGCAGCTTGCAACTCTGGGACTAGGGAGTGGAAAGCAGAAAAGCAGTGATTGGGCTCATGATTTAAGGGGGTAGTCACTTACAGATATGGACCCTGCACCAACTTGACAGTGAATACTTCCTTAAATTGTGATGTCTAGGCAGTACTTTTACCTCACTCTAGTCCTGGCCCAAGGAGCTCTGGTAGCGTAGTGGTTACGAATTGGGCTGCGAACCTTAAGGCCAACAGTTCGAAACTACCAGATGCTCCGCGGGAGAAAGATGAGGCGTTCTGCTTCCGTAAAGATTTACAGCCTCGGAAACCCTGTACAGGGTCGCTGTGGGTCGAAACCGACTCGATGGCACTTAACAACAACAACAACAGTCCAGGCCCTGGAGTCCTGGTGTGGTGCTGTGGGCTAATGCTTCAAACTGCAAAGAGGTTTGAACTGAAAGGTCAGTGGTTCAAGCTCACCAGATGCTCCTTGGAAACCCTATACAGGGTCGCTATGGGTCGGAATCAACTCGATGGCATTTAACAACAACAGTCCTGGCCTGACTGCTTGGTCTTAAATGCCAGTTTTGCTGACACTTAGCAGCTATAGAACCTAGGCAAGTTACTTAAACTCACTGTTTTGCTATTTTGTCACCTGTGATATAGAGATCATAACAGCATCTACTTTATAGTATTGCTATGATGGTGGAGAATAGGGTTAACAGATGTGAAGAACAATGCCAGCACACAGAAAGAACTCAGAAATATTAGCTCTTTTCTTTTCACTGGGATAGTTCTCTAATACCAGCCTCATTCTATTTGCTGAGGATGATGCCAGAAATTTAAAGCTGGCAACAACAACAACAACAACAACAAAAGGAGTCACAAATAGGCATGAAATGAAATACTCTTTCTGACAGCTACATAAATCTGACATACTGTGCCTAATAGAAAAACATCAGGCAGCCTCCTTTTGTCCCTACAGCGATCCTGGTGATGTCCTGAATCACCATTCTGATTACCTTGATCTTTAACAAGGAAACAGCTGATTTCCTTTTATCTTATACCAGTGCAAGAAAAGGCATGTGGCCACATGAAAGCTTGGGATCAAACACTGGGTGCACCTGACATTTTGCATAAAAATGTAAAATTACCTAGTCACATTTATATATGCTTAAAGAAAGACTGATCTCCGAGATAGGATAGAACAATGAAAGCAAAACAACATTTCACATTGATACACTCCAAATTTCCCCTCCATCATTGGGGTGTGGAGGAGATGCACCAGAAACCTGTATCATCATTGTACTGGTTCTCTTCTTTGTGCCCTGAGTCACGATGCCATATGCTACCTTTAGCAGGATATAGGTATCTGCAGAGAAGATGGGATGGAGTGACCAGCAGTAATGTTGCAGCTTGTTGGAGGATTCGCACTGATGGGATTCTGAGATGAAGTAAAACATACAAAATGAAAAAAATTAGGTATTTCCTTACACTCAACACAACTTTGTCGACAGCAGGATTTATTTGATAGATAGCTATCAAGTTGATCCTGACTTATGGTGAGCTTATGTATAAAAGAACAAAATGTTGCTCGGTCTTGCATCAGACTCACAATTGCCAGGATGTTCAATTCCTTTGATTGTTGTAGCTATTGCACCAATCCATCTCCCAGAGGGTCTCTCTCACCCTTGCTGTCCCTCTACTTCACCAAAAGTAATGTCTTCTTACAGCTATTGATTTCTTCTAATGACCTGTTGAAAGCAAGTGAGTTGGATAATGTTGTGTTGTAATTCACAAGGTTTTTGCTGGCTAATTTGTAGAAGCATATCACCTAAACTTTCTTCCTCATCGATCATAGTCTGGAAGCTCTACTGACACCTGTTCACTATGGGTGAACCTGTTGGTGTTTGAAATCCCAAGAGGATTTATTAGAAAATTTCAAACAGTTCTTTCTTTTAGTAATTGCCAAATCTCAAAGGATTAAAAATTCAAATGATGTAAAGGAGCAAGTCAGCAAGTTGAATTTATGGAGTGAAGATCACATTCATCATAGGAGGTAAACTTCCCAAGCATAGAGATAGTTGTGTATGTACTAATCACTGATAACTCCACATATCATTCAGAATCAGTAACCCTTGCAGATATGCCTTTCAAACTGATTTTTAGTAGACTGACTAAAAAGAAGGGTAAAATTAAAGACCATTTTTTAATATAACATGAGCGAGCTTCAAAAAGTTCATGGAAAATTTCTGTTTTCTTTTAATTCCATTTTTCCATGAACTTCCTGAAACTTCCTCATAGAGTGGACAGATTACCCCTGTAGGCATTTGCTAAGTAAATGCTTATTACTCTATGCCATTGAGTTGAGTTTCTATTCCATAGAAACAATGGGGGGAGGTTGAATCATCAAGGTTAAGGTTACCAGTCAAAGCCAGCCAGTTGTACCTCCCAAGGATCACCAAATGGTTATTATTGTTGTTAAGTGCCCTGTAGTCAGTTCTGTCTCATAGTGACCCTGTGTAGTATTTCTAAGGAGTGGCTGTTGGATTTTAACAGCCAACCTGTGGTCAGCAGTCCAGTGTTTATCCTATAGTGCAAGACCAGGATTCCCAAAATCCTTATTGTTGTTGTTAATTGTTGTCAACTGAGTTCCAACTTATAGCAAAATCTCACATTTAAAAGTATTACTGGGATTTCATTATGAAAGTAACATTAAGTTGTCACTATAGGGATGTTGGTAGGTATTAGGTGCCATAGAGTTGGTTCTGAGTTATGGAGACATAGTACAACAGAACAAAACACTACCCAGTCATACACCATCCTTACAATATGGATTAGGTTTGAGTCCATTGTTGCAGCCACTGTGTCAATCCATCAATTGAGGGTCTTCCTCCTGTTTGATGACCCTCTACTTTACCAAGCATGATGTCCTTTTCTAGGGACTGGTTCCTCCTGATAACATGCCCAACAAATGTGAGATGAAGTCTCACCATCCTCACTTCTAAGGAGCATCTAAGCTGTACTTTCAAGATAGATTTGTTTATTCTTCTGGAAATTTGTGGTACTTTGAGTATTCTTTGCCAATACCATACTTATGATGTATCAATTCTTCTCGGATTTCCCTATTAATTATCCTGCTTTCATATACATATAAACCTATTGAAAATACCATGGGTTGGGTAAGGTGCTCCTTGGTCCTCAAGTGACGTCTTTGCTCTTAAACACTTTAAAGGGTTCTTTTTACAGTAGATTTGCCAAATGAAATACCTCATTTGATTTATTGACAGCTGCTTCCATGAACATTGATTGTGAATCCAAATAAAATGAAATCTTTGGCAACTTCAATCTTTTCTACTGCTATCATCATGTTGTCTACTGGTCCAATTAAGATGATTTTTGTTTTATTTATATTGAGTT